ATAAGAAACATCTCCTTCAGCAACAGGCTCCACAGTTATTGGTAGGACAATAGGGTATGGCATCATAAGAGTCTGAGCACGAGACCGCACCCATCTGAGATAAGGTTCCATAGGAATGGAGTGCTTTGGTTCCAAAGTATTGTTGTTGATCTTATTCACCATGCTCCAAGATCTTATAAACCATTGATGGTAATCTTGAAGATCGTTGTCGTAATCAAACATAATACCCTGAATAAGCATGTCATGAGGACCATTACTCCGAGCGTAACTAAACTGACGTAGTGCTAGAGAAGGATTGTAGGTAATGCCTCCTCTTATGCCAAGGAGTGGCACATTAGGGAACTTTCCGCAACGGTCAATGATAGTGACATTCTCCATAGATCTGGAACACCAATGAATGTCTGAATGAGAAAGTGACATTATTCTTTTAGACCACCTCCAACCTTGCACATTCTTCATCACAGATCGAGGAAGGTGTGAAATAAACCACCTTGATAGTAGAGGTATACTACACGTCAGAGTTCCTCTCGCATTCGTAGTACGAGTATGAAGAGAGTGTAAGATATCTCCAAGCAAAGTAGGCACCAGATTGTGAGTCAGAAATATGTTGATGGCGTGTACATCTATGAACTGGTTTGGATTAGAGAACAACATTAAACCATAAATCAATAAGGCTAAGATCTCCTCAAAGGCATCATAACTCATAGCATCTAGGAATATCTGGGCTTTCTCCATCAATACCTTAGCAAGAATACCCTTAGTTCCACTTCTTGTTTCCAATACAATGTCTGACTTCCTTAGATGTAGGGTTGCAACAATGACTTCATGTTTAGGCTCTTTCCCTAAGCCTGTGAAAGGTTTTTGATCAAGGATAGGCACACCAAGTAATTTGGAGAATTCTTCCATTGTGGGCACCAGCTGATAATCGGGAAATGTGAAGCAATGGTGTTTAGGATCAAAGAACTGGAACAAAACACTCATCATATCTTCATCAAACCCTGAAGTAACCAAGTCAAGTAGGTGACCATGCTTCTTGATGAATTGAGAGCTTTCAGAAACTTTAGAGACCAATTCCTTAAGCTTGGGAGGTATCCTTACAAAGTTGACTCGGATAGTGTTCCTACGAGCGGAAGCCATAACCTGCAACAAAGAACAAAGATAAATCCTTTGGTCTTTGAAATGGTTAGTGAGAATGCTATGCTTATGATGTTATGTCCAAACACGAACATGTGGCACACACAAGCAATTCACACAACAACCCTAGGTTTAGAGGCTTGCATGAGGTTTAAAGGTAAGTACCCTCCCATTGAAGTTTAGTTGGTTCATCTTGTCCTAGAAATAGTAACCGGGTTCTACGGGATCTCAATATCATCGATTCTTCTCAAAGGTTGTTGTTCAGTAGGCAACTGACTTGCCAACCAAAACTCCCTTAGATTAGAATCTCAATGAGTGTAGTATCGAGTATCAACCAACTTCAGTCTTCACCAAAGCCGGTTATCTCACTACTTTCTAAAGGCCAAGATGGGTCAATTAGGGTTCTAAAAGTTAGTTAGTGTTAATGACAACGTATGACAACCTCGTATTATCCTCAACTGACTTAAGGAACATAAGTACCCACCAAGAAGTCACACTAACTGTAGCCACCAGATCAACCATATCGATATACGCTAGGGGTGACAAAATGATGGATTAGATGGTTAATGGATGGATTAAAACAATCCATTAGTCCATTAACAGTCCACTAAAATTTTCTTAAAATTATCCAATCCATCCATTAAGAATAACATCCATCCATTAACATATTTTTAATGGATGGATATCCATCCATCCAACTTTTTAAAAAAAAATCGATCTCTTTTTGTTGAAAAAATTACAATTTTTTTATTGAAAAAAAATAATTTTTTTTCTTTTAAAAAATTTATTTTTAGTTAGATTTTAAATAAATAATATAACAAAAATAAAAATAGTCCATTGGATTTTTAAAATATGTTGGATGGATTGAATTCATCCATGCATATAAATGGATGAATTTAATCCAATCTGTTAACTTATTTTTTATGTGATGGATGAATTGAATGAATTTTTTAATGGATGAATTAAATGAATTTTGTCTTAATGGATCCTATTGTCACCTCTAATTGTAACTACTTCATCACCTTTTCCTCTGTTTCAACACAATAAAAAAAATAAAAAATACAGCGAGCACAGAAAATAAAATGCAGAATAGATATTTTGGTCTAATTAATGACAATAAAAACAGTTTTTGTGTTTTTTTAATTAACTGGTCAATTTTTTTTGTTATAATAAATATCTCTATTTTATATTAAACTTACTTTTAAATAAAAAATAAATTTCACTTTAAAGTCATTCTTAACAAAAAATAGTGTTTCTCCCTCTCAACAATTTATTTACCGACGGTGCTCACGTATTTCTCCCTCTCAACAATTTATCTCTTTCTCTCACATATTTCTCATTTTAGGGCATCTGTCTCTCAGCTTCCAACAATGGACTTGTGTTTTTCAATCACAAGGCATTCATATTTGTAACCTTCCATAACTGCACCTTGGTAAGTCTCTTTCTCAAACCCTAAATTCTACTTCATTTATTTTTACTTCTCAAACCCGAAGTTGTTTTACAATCATGAGAATAATGGATTGTTAATTGCTATATGTTTTGTTCTTGGTCTTAAATTCGAATAAAATAGTGTTCTTGAGAAGCTTGAGAATGTTGTTCTTTTTCTTAAATTCCAGAGAATTCTGTTCTTGAGAATCTTGAGGAGTGTTTATTTATTTATAACACTAGATATCATATTTAAACTAATTCAGGCTTGTCGAATAGTTTATCATTCGAAATTGGTAGATTAATGATGGAAATTTGATGATGTTGTAAGAGTATTGAATAAGAATTGTTGGAACATAAATAGTTACAAGTTTTCCCTGATTTGATGAACAAATAATAGAAAATTCATATAAAAACATATTGTGGGTAGTGTCATGGTTTTAAATTGTGATTATTGTCCCAGTTTCAAAAACTTGCAATCTTCTAAGATAGGACAACATTCTCTGAAATTTAGTCCACTGTTATTTTCCAAATGAAAAGGAATAAAGCTTTTATTGCTTGTTGTGGAGGTGATGCAGTCTGCCACGCTTGAATGCGGTCTAGTTCGGTGGTGATGCAGCAATTCCAAGTGAGTTTGTTTAACACCGCAATTGCGGTTCGATGTGGTAGTTTCATCCGCATCCGCAATTTCAAACCATGATTAGTGTTACAATTCCATGGTTTCATCCGCAATACGTGAGCACCGTCGGTATAGCATCGTGTTGGTAGAAATTTCATGGTGTGTCTTGCCAAAGGAGAGTTGCCCTGTTGCTGCTTTAGCTTAATATGTATTCATGTCCACCATTTTATTCTTCTCATTTTTGCTTGCAACCATCATGAGTGCAATGTCCATTACTCCCAAGCGTTATAACTTCTTGCTGACAATGGCCTTATCTCGTGAAACTTCCATCGAAGTTACTTTATCCATCATTTATTCTTCGCAAACAAACTATAAAACAGAAAATTTATTAATAAAAACCATAGATTGCCTTCAAGTTGGAGAATCTTTGTTGATAAGATATAAATGATTTGTATGGTGCGGGAGGAACATAAGGTTTTTCATTTTGCTCTATTTTATTTCCTCTTCTAACTCGTCACTTGATGGTTTCCCGTTCTTTCTTCATTCACTTTCTTCCTCTTCCTTACCACTGTTGGAGCATAAACAAGCTCTAATAGTGAATCAATGAAGAATTTGTGTTAATTGGAGAAGATGAAATGAGAAAAAATGAGAGAGTAATTGAATTTGAGGAGAAAAATTGAATTTGAGGAGACTTATTCGGTATAATTTATACATGCTCATTTTCAATCTGACAGGGTATAGCATAGTGTTGGTAGAAATTTCTTGAAGAAATTGGTTATCACATAACTGCTATAGAAATTTCTTTAAGAAATTTATGTTCATTCTTTTGATACAAACGGCATTACAAGTCGAAGAATTTCTGAAGGTGTAAAACCAAAGTGCTGATTTTATTACCTTCTGATTTTGTAACTTAGATGTCCTATTTTATCTTTTCTTTATATTACACACGCGCGCGCACGTACTGTCTATGTATGGGTATTTCAATATGGGAAGTAGGATGAGTATGGATATTTCAACATGGGAAGTAGGATGAATGGCATACTTTCACATATATGTTCCATATAAACTAATAAGGTTAATGATTACTTTTCGGCAATCCTTTTTCATTTGAGGGAGGGTAGATAGAAAGTATAGGATGTCATTAATCATTGATGTATGTAGCGTATATTGTTTTGAGAAGCATGAGTGCATGATTCTATCTATCCTTGTGGACTAGAATGATTTTGGGAATTAATTGCAGTTTCATATGGTACATAGAAGTTTGGTTTTCATTTTGATTCCTTTTTCGATTATGAGATAGAGTATGACCGAAAAAGAATTGGAAGTACTTTTGCTGACACTGATAATTAGTATGAAGAATCTTAGACTGCTAATGATGCACAGCTGTGCTATTCAGATATTTTGGCTCTAAAGTTTGGATTTTTGTTGCACATGCTTCAAAGATCTATCGGCCAAAGATATCAGAAAACAAATAAGTGTATTATCCTTGTTACTTTAACCTATATAGTTTCAAAAATCTGATAGAGTTATGAGATTTATAACGCCTCATATTTGTTTCTATATGATTATATGTTGTAGTTTAAATGGCCTGCTATAATTTTTAATGTGTCACACTTTATTCATACTTTCATAGTGGATGTCTTTTTACCTAAATTTGATAAATATTGTTTGTATAATTATGTTTTCATTGCATTTAAATATTCATTTGGCTTCATGATTTCATAAACTGAGTATTTATAATTTATTCTTATCAACGCAAGCTTTTTTATTGCTTAAACTTCAGGTGAGAAGAAGTGAGGAAAAGGAACTTGGCTGTAGAAGAATGGTGATCTCTAGTACCAATCCCCAATATAAGGAGATAACCATCAGGAGGAGGATTGCTAGCATGTATATTTTTCTTTCCCACATTGTATCTTGCTTGCTTTGTATATGTGACATGAGAAATACTAAATGCATCATATGTCTGTCGAAGTTTCTACTCATATATAATATAATATGCAAAAATATTCAACTATATTATGCAAAAATATTCAATTTTGAGTAATACAATCCTGCAGAATTTGCTTGATAGATTATCTATTACACTTTGTTCTGGATTAAAACATAGTTAAAATTGCATTAATTAGCAAATTTCATGTATGCCAGAAACTGTGTATAGCCTAGAATGTATAGTTAGGGAAATCTTGTTTCTATTTCCTATCAATATAGGTTTAGTAAACTAGGAAATATTTCATAATCGGAGGGATTTGATTTCAAAATAGGCTGTCAGTTTCTTTCCTAAATCAGCTTACAAGCCTAGAATATATATATTTCAATATTATGTAATGAAATCAATTCATTCTTCCCTAGAATACGTAGTGACAGTGTCACTCCTGCTGGATAGTATTTCATTTTCTCTTTTTGTAGTTGGTATATTCAGTACAAATTCTCACAAAAATCTCAAACAAACTTATGAAATAGAATAGAAAATCTGAACAGGTTTACAAATACATGCCGATTAATTGCTGAAGGGTCTAATCATGAAACATATAGGACCACATGCTTAGTACTCTGGTTAGTTAAATAAAGGAGAGTCAGGCACTGAGTTTTTTAAAATGTTAAGTGAAGGAGGAGCCGTGGGATTGGCATAAAATGCAAAAAATTTCTTTCTTATTGCCAACAGCCAAGTCTCATAATTCATTTTTAGAGTTCATAACTTAACAGATATAACATATTAAGAATTTTGGTTTTCTCAATACTTTGAAAGTTTGTTACATTTGAACGTTTTGTAGAAAAGAAGTATGTATCATATTCTAAACTCAGACTCTCACTTTTTGGGGTCATGTTATTATATTGATTTATAGATTCAATAAACGGGAAGATGATTTTTCATCTTTGAAAGATTACAATGATTACTTGGAGGAAGTTGAAGACATGAGTAAGTTTTTTTAAGTCAAGATGACATGTGTTTCACCCGATAATTTTTGCTTTAAATTTTGATGAAATTTCTCCTCTCCCCCCTGCAGCGTTTGACTTGATTGAAGGAATAGATGTTGCTGCTATAGAAGCAAAAATTGCTAAATACCAAGAAGAAAATTCAGAACAAATAATGGTTAATCGAGCCCGAAAGGTACTTCTAATAGTGTCTTCACTGGTTCAGTCTTCTATATCGGGTTTTGAGCTCTCTTCTGGCCTTTATGTCAATTTTGCTAAAAGTAGCCTGATAGGATATGGAGAAATACAAAAACAAGGATAGTATTGATCATATATCATATCATATGAATTGTGAAGAGCTGTTGATTCTTGTTGCTTCTCCCTTCAAGTATTGTCACCATTCCACAAGGACAAATAACGTACCCACCTATATTCACATGTGTGCACATTAATCATCACAACAAAACAATATCCTCCATACACATATACTGCTCCTACCTTTGTCTCTTGCCTTCCCTAAAAGTATTTTTGTTCCTCTGAACTCTCCAAGAGACTTTTAGATTCCATTTACTTAATTATATTCTCATCAACTTTTATTTTCGACCTCAATTTTTCATCCATAACCTCGAAACTATATAATGATTTCTTGGACCTTTCTATACGTTGCCTTACTACGTATAATTCACATGTCCTTCTAGATTCCTGTATGTCTTTCATTAAATAATATTCCAAGCTATGATTATCATATTCCTTTATTGTTTGGTAGACTTTGATTTGCCGGTGGACGTCCACTGGCTTGAGATCTAGCTTCTTCTTCTTTGCGGTGCAGTTTTGAAGTTGGTTTGCTCTGGAGTTTAGATTGCGGGGGTGTTTATTATTTTTGCCCGTTTATTTTGTTTCTCGCTTTTTTGGTACTTGTGCCAGTTTTGTGTTTTTTTTTGGTACTCTGTTGGATATTTTCCTGATTTCTCTTTTTAATAGATATATTATTATTTGCCTTAAAAAAATCTGTTCTATATTAATTTGTGACGTTAGTGCTGCTTGTAATATTTAAATAGGCTGAAGAATTAGCTGCAGCTATGGCAGCAATCAAGGCACAGCCTGCCCAAACTGATAACGATGTAAGTATTGGATTGCTACTTTTATACATTCATTAAGATCACATTTTGGCACAGATTATAAACATTGTTTATTCTGGAAACAGGATGCAAACCTAAATTCTCAAGCCGGGGTTGGTACTGTTCCTCAGGGGCAATATGCACCTACAGTTGCAGGAGGACAACCTAGACCCACAGGCATGATGGGACCACAACCCTTACCTCTCGGAGGAAGTGACGCCGGCTACATAGTTGAGAACGAAGAAACATTTAGGCGGCGAGCAAGGGCTGGAGGATGGAGTAAAGAAATAAGCAGGAAGAGAGCTTTTGAAGAAGCATTTGGAAGCATTTGGGTTTCATAGAGACACATGGTCATTCTGATATTACTGGTGTAGATCGGTCCGACCTCGGAACTTCTTTCCGGTGCAGTTTTTAAAATTATGAATGAGTTAATGTTCAATCAACCTCATAAGATTAGAAAAAAATCATCTCCAACTTATGAGATTTTACAAGTCTATTTAAAAAGAGACTTCCACTATTCTTATGATTGGCCATATCCATATGACCTATATTTGGCTTACACCACTTGTTTAAAATAAAACAAAAATGATCACTCTCAAATCAGTTGAACATAATACCCACTAATGTAAAAAAGTGAACAAATAATGATCAAACTTACGTTGGTTAATGATCAAATACAACAAACAAAAAGTAGTTTAAAATGTTGTGAATTAAGAAATATTATTTTCTTGCTTTCATTTATTTATTTTTAACTGTAGCAATAGCAGTCGCTAAATAAAAATATTAATTGTTGAATTTCATTTTTTTTGTCTTTCACGGTGAGAAGCCTGTACGGGAGACAGCAAGACAAAAACACAGATTTTTTATTTTGTTACATCTCTTTGATAGACAAAAAGCAGCATGACCTACTGCCACCATAACCAAGCCACACCCTTATCTTATTGTTTTCAAGGCAAGATTATATGTCAAAACATTTAAATACGCACATTAAACAAATAAACCAAATAATTCAAAGCTATATCAATTTAGAGGGTCAATATTGGGAAATATTTTTTACATGGGACTATTTTTTATAAACAAAATGTTTTTCTTTTTTAAGAAATACATTATATATTTATTTAAAATATTAAAATAATAGGTATGTGAGGTGTATAGTGTAGAACTTTTTCAAACACTTCTATTCACCCTTTTTTCTTAACATTTTTGCAAAAGAATTACTTGCTCTTTTGTATTATTACTTTTTCTTATACAATTTTATTTTTTTCTTTTTGTCAAATTTTTTATATGATATCCTTAAATGTAAGAAAAGCATTTCAACCTCAGAATGAGGTATTGGTGAAGTTTTTCCAAAATAAATATATGCTTCACCCACAATCAACATCCTCTCTTTTTTAAAATAATGACTTACAAAATTTCTTATTTTGAGTCATGACGAGAGCAAGCAACAAGTTACCATAAACATTATATTAATAACATAAACATAAAAGATTCAAAATTAATTATGATATTGTATCAAACAACTCCTCCAATATCAAGTAATACAAAAGTTAATGTTAAATATGTAATTCTTTGTGTTAAGTAAGATGGTATTTGACAGTGTCGAAGTCTGTATGAAGTTGTCGAAGAAATTTACTTCGGTAGAGCCAAAGAATGCGTATATTCAACAAAGTCGAAACAAATAGAATTTGACAAAGTTGAACTTAGTATTTTTCGTGTAACATTTGAGTTAGTTATTTTGAGATTACTTGGAGTGCAAAGTAGTCTCATTATAAATAGAAGGAGACTCTATGTAGTTAAAAACTAACTCATCACTCTGTAATCACTTTTGTAATACAGTTCAGTGCAGTTGTACTATGCAATACATTCTTATTCTTCCTTCAAAAATTATGTATTCTCTCAAATTTAAATTTATCTTTTTACATCTCTTTAAATCTGTGACCAAAGTAGAATCATCTTGCAACCAAGAAGTGGTTGATTCTTTTAAGCAAAAGGTGAAGAACAAGAGGTGCGACCAATCAGAAAGATTAATTCTTACTCATCAAGATTGATCCGGATTATCTCCAAGATCGAGGTTTAATTCCAACATATGGTATCTAGAGTACTGGTTGCGATTCTTGGAAAGCATAAAACAATGACTTTTCATCTGAATGAGCATATTCCAACAAATTTTGTCATCTTTAAGAGCTAGAATTATGATAATTGGTGTAAGTACATGAAGGTTGTCTTCTACTATCAAGACATTTGGGATCTTGTGAAAAATGGAGTAACACCAATTGGAGAGAATGTCACCAATGAACAAAAAGTTACACATAAAGACTTGAAGAATAAAGATTACAAAGCTCTCTTTATAATCCATCAACGTGTTTATTCAGATAACTTTGAGAAAGCCGGTAATGTAGACTCATTGAAGGAAACATGAGACATTCTAGAGAAATCATTTAGAGGTGCCGAGAAGGTGAAAGAGGCGAGGTTACAAAATCATATAAGAATGTATGAATTGCTTTATATCGAAGAAAACAAAAATGTTACTGATTTCTTCACCAGAGTAACGAGATCGGTGAATCAAATCAAGATATGTGGAGAAGTGTTGACATGGAGATCAATAGTTAAAAAAATCTTGAGGTCATTACCTCAAAGTTCGATCATGTGGTAGTAGCCATAGAAGAATCAAATGATTTGTCAAGCATGAAAAATGAAGAGCTTCAAAGACGCTTGAATCTCATGAAAAAATGATGACTGAAAGATATATAAGCAAGACAAAGAATGATGTGACTCTATAGGCATAGTCAGCTAAAGATAAGAAAGACAAAGGAAAATGGAATGGAAATAAAGGTAGACGAGGCTATAACAATTCAACTGATATAGTAAACCAATAAGAAGGTAGTTCATCAAATTATAGACAATTTTTAAACCAAAGCAATCACAGAGGTGATGGTGTAGGTAGAAGAAGACGTGGTGAAAGCAACCTAACAAAAGCCATATTCACTGTTACAATCCTCCACACTTGAATAGATGTTAGAATGCCCAATTGTTCTTTAAAACTTTTTATCATCAAAACCTAAGGGATATGATATCGAACAATTTTATTCCAACAATAACTGTTAGAAATATGGATACTATGCAAGTCAATGCCGAGGAGGAGAGAAAGAAAACCAAGAAAGTGATGCAAAACTTGCAAAACAATAAGAAAATGAAGTGTTGCTGATGGTCACAAAAAAAAGAAGAAAAATTCAAAGATCAGTGGTATCTCGACTCAGAATGCTCATCACACATGATTGGAAGAAGTAATTGGCTCATTAACATCAATCCCTCAATGAATAACAAGGTGAAATTTACTAATAAGTGTTTTCCCTTAGTGCTGAAGGTATTGGTGATGTTCTGATCACGAGGAATTATGGAAAATAATAAGTGTTTTCCAATTACATATCTGGAATGAACATTAATTTGCTAAGTATATGGCCGATGATTAAGAAGAATTACAAGGCGGTTATCAAAGACAAGATAATGAGAGTACTAGACTCAAGTGACAAGTTAATATTGGAGGCTCCCATGTCTCAAAATCAAACCTTCAGGATTGAACTTGATTTGTTAGAACACAAGTGTCTAGCAACTGTAACTAGCAGGGATGAATGGTTATGACATTATAGACACAGTCATCTGAATTTCAAATACATTAGTAACCTAAAGAGAAAGAACGTGATTTCAGGATTACTACAAATCCATATTCCAAGTGAAGTGTGTGAAAAATGTGTTAAGGAAAAGCAACATAAGAATAACTTTAGCAAGGATGCAAGGAACAAGTAAAAAGGCACTATTGAAGTGATCTACTCATATGCGTGTGATCCTTTTCAAGTAGATTCAATTGGAGGTAACAAGTAATTTCTTTTTACATTTATAGATGATTACAGCAGAAACCTGTGGACCTACTTGATCAAGAAGAAAAGTGATGTGATTTATGTCTTAACCAAGTTCAAAGGCATGGTGGAAAGACAAAGTGGTCTTAAGATCAAGACTATGAGGACAAATGGTGGTGAAGAATATGCGTCGAAAGATTTTGACACATTATGCGAAAGAGAAGAAATTATGCATGCGGTGGTGCAAAAATTATAGCAAATGAATTTCTTCAGAAAGAGAGAATTGACTATGATGAAGTTTTTGCACCAGTTGTTAGGATCGAAAAAATAAGGTTTTTTGTTGGTCTAGTAAACATGAATAATTGGTCCATGTGTTAGATGAATGTGAATTGTGCATTCCTGAATGGCCCGTTAGATGAAGAGTTTTATGTAGCACAACCAGTTGGTTTCGTGAAGAAAGGCCAAGAAGGAAAAGTATACATGTTGCATAAAGCCCTGTATGGACTCAAGCAAGCTCCAAGAGATTGAAACAAGATTTCCACTATTGAAATATTTGACTAAAGATGACACCGATCGAACACAGTACAAAAGACTTATTGGATCATTAAGATACCCCTGTCACACAAGGTCTGATTTAGCCTATAATGTAAGCATGATAAATAGATTCATGTAAAAGGTAAATATATATCATCTTGCAGCCACCGAGATGATACTAAGGTACCTCAGAGGAACACTAGATTATGGAATTTTATTTCCTGTAATAGATGAAGGAAAATAATGCAAACTTGTGGAATACACTGACTCTAGTTGGCGTGGTGATACTGACGATAGAAAATCCACAAATGGATGCGTGGTCGTGTTAGGTGGTGCACTGGTTTCTTGGAGTTCAAGAAACGAATCTATTGTAGCATTATCATGATGTGAGGCTGAATACATATCCGCCTCTCTATGCGCATGCTAAGCAACATGGGTTGTGAACTTGATCGAAGAAATTACATGGAAGGATCATGAAGCAATGACCATAAAGGTCAACAACACGTTTGCTATCAACCTTGCAAAGAATCCGATAGCAAATCGAAGAAGTAAGCACATAAAAATGAGATTCCATTATCTAAGAGAGCAACTAGTGAATGAAAGGTTGGACCCAAAACACTACAAATTAGAAAATCAGATTTCAAACATAATGACAAAGGTTGTGCATGTCGAATTATTTAAGAGATTGAGAACAATGATGAATGTAGATAGCTTGGACACAATGAACCATGTGGTGTGTTAAATATGTAATTATTTGTGTTAAGTAAGATTTTATTCGACAATATCGAAGTCTGTATGAAGTTGTCGAAGAAGTTTACTTTGACAGAGTATAAGAATGCATATATTCAATGGAGTTAAATCGACTAGAATTCGACAAAGTTGAACTTAGTATTTTTTTCGTGTAACAGTTGAGTTATTTATTTTGAGAGTACTTAGAGTGCAAGTAATCTCAT